AGACGTTGCCAAGTTTCCTCCGATAAAAATCAAATTAACCGAGAAAATTGCGAATATTATTTTTCACAATTTTCAGACAATTTTGTGCGCAATTTCATATAAAATATCTGAAAATTTCAAGGAAAGGTATGCACGAATGTTGTCAAAAATACATGTCTTATCGAGGGAAATTTGGCAACTCTCGGATGTTCTTACGGCGTTCTTCCTAAGAGCGACGAATGTGTATAAAGCATAGCGTTCGTCTGTTTTTCAAACTAATGATTGCGTGAATGGATCCGCCGTTGAACATCAGATACTTTTTTAATCAAAAGTGATGCAGTTTAAAGACATCGAGACTCTCCGTGGGTGAATGAGGACGTATTCCTGTCAAACGGAACTATGTGCATTATGACGTGAGACCTGTTATGCATATTCTTAGGGGTCTTAGGGCTCATGTCTTGATGCACATAGTTCCGTTTCGCAGGAATACGTCTATTCACATCTATCCATGAGCAGTTTGCTCGTCATAGATTAATAATTATCTCTACATGCTCGGTGGGTGAAAGAAACGTGCGTCGCACATTGGATCGAGTCGGTAGGAGAGGTTGGACAACATTTGGAAACTTTAAATGCTTATAACTCCATTCAAACAAAATTTTGATGTTTTAAAAGTTGTTTCATTGGTTTTTTCGTTAAATTTTCTTTCAAAAGCACCCCTTAAAATTTATAATGTGATGAATTACACTTAAAAATTCTCGATTTCAGTCAAAAATTGCATGTCCGACCTCTCTGATTGCCTTGATCCACTGTGCGTCGATACGATACAACTAACCCAATACATATGTCGGTAACTTTGCCTATTCACATCATTAAAGGCGATTTTTATCGAGCAGGTATCGCAACCAACTGTATTTATTTATTTATTCATGCATTCATCCGAATAGCAACCAGAATAATCAGCGTTTTACCACTTTGTAATTATTTTATCTAGCGAAATTTTGTATGTATTTGGATATTTATCTATTTTAGCAAAAATTTGGATGACCGTGCAACCCTGACGTAAAAAATTACCTGCCAGCTGGACGACCACCTAGGAGATGGGCACAAAGCTGGCTTTTTTCTGAGGATGATTGAAGAGTTTATGCTGTTTTTATTGATTTGATGAGTTTTTTTTTTATTCTTCAGTGATTTTTAGATTTTTTACATTTATATGGTTTATTGGGCTCGATACTGGATGTCCTGACAAACAGGGCTACGCCCTAGGCGTTCGTGGAAGAAGAAGTTTACCCCGTATGGGGGACTGTTGTCACAGGTTTAGCAATCCTGCGGACCCCAGCTGGTAGCCCCTGCCTCAAAGGGGGCAGTGGAGATGGTCACCGGCCTCTGGGCGTATGAACCACCTGCTAGAAGGGCAGACAGGGCTCTGAGCTGAAGTGAAAGCAACCTGTCTAGGAGAGGCAACTCCGAAATCAAACCCTGGTCCTCCAGGTTGGGGGTTGAGTCATCGGGCTAACTCCCCGGTACTTGTAAAAAGTTTTACTGTTAAACGACCTAACAATACAAGCCTCGGTACCACTACAACTAAACGGACACGTCGACAAAAATTGAGAAAACGGACAATGGTATTTGGGACGTGGAATGTCCAAGGCATTTCAAATAAGTTACCGGAAGTGATATCGGAGATTCAGAAACTTGGAGTGGATGTCGCTGTTCTTACTGAGACCAAGAAAAAAGGGCACGGGTCAGAGAATTACGGTGACTATGATCTATTCTACAGCGGCGTAGCCAAAGATCAGCGTGCTCAGCAAGGAGTAGCAATACTTTTGCGGAGAAGCCTACGTAAGTTCGTGGGCACTTGGGAGGCCGTCAACCAGCGCATTATCAAAATGAACCTTAACCTGTACGGACATAAGATCACGCTGCTCGGAGTATACGGTGTAAATGATGATGCCACTGTCGCATGTAAGGACCAATTCTTCGAAGATCTGAATGATGAAATACTGAACGTTGGTGCTGGCAGGGAAGCCATTCTTATGGGTGATTTGAACAGCAGAACGGGACGACGAGTAAACTGTAAAGTTGTTGGACCGTTTGGGGAGGATGCTGTTAATGATAACGGTGATCGGCTCATCTCAATTTGTTCTCAAACTGAGATGAAAATTTTGAATGGCTTTTTTCAACACAAAGACATCCATAAGTATACCTGGGTCCAGCCAACGCGAGGATTGAAATCCATCATCGATTATATAATTGTAAAGCACACTACTAAGTTGAAATTGCAGCAAGTTAGAGTGTGCAGGGGACTCTCTTGCGGCAGTGATCATCATTTCCTCCGAGCAGATATAGCGTTTCCCGTTAAAGGGATTAAAGGTAAAGAGCCAATGCCTGAGCAACAGCAGAGTCAGGGAACGCAAAATCATGAAGTATGGTATAACATCGAAAGTTTGGAGCACCCTAGTGTCAAGGCTCTGTATCGGAAACGCTTAGATGAGAAGCTGGGGGATGGACTCTCGGGTACCACGGAAGAGCAATATCAGTTCATCAAAGATTGTATCCACTCTGCAGCGAAAGAAGCCCTAGGTGTTCACAAAACCAGTAATAAATACCAGCATCCTTACTGGTGGGATGAAGAAATTGAAGACGAGATAAATCTTAAGAGGCAAAAACACCTTATATTTCTGTCGTCTAAAAAGACTGAAGATAAACTTGCTTACAGGAAAGCTCAGTCTAAAGTTAGGAGCCTCATAACACGGAAGAAGAATGAAGCTTGGGAAAGCAACTGTTCTAGAATTAACACCTACCTAGGGGGGAGAAAAAGTGCTGAGAGCTGGAAGTTAATTAAAGGTTTGCGTAGAGACATGAAGCGCGACATCGTTTCTCCGATATCACTTAAAAAACTGGAGGATCATTTTAAAGATCTTTTGACGGAAAGGCGCCCAGAGTTTCGAGACAACAGCACGGACAACGGAAGAATGAACAACTTGGAGATCCACACTTGTGACATAATTAAAGCGGTCAAAGAGCTGCAAAATGACAAAGCACCGGGTCCTGGTGGGATTCCTGTCGAGTTGGTCAAGTACGGGACTGCCAAGCTCTTTGAGTGCCTCAGAAAACTGATGCAACAATGCATCAGGGGTGACGAGGTACCAAGGGAGTGGAAGGAGTCTTGGATCAAGGCCATCTACAAAAAGAAGGGAAGGAAGGACGACTGTAACAACTACCGGGGGCTCTCAGTGACCGGGACAATAAGCAAAGTGTACGGGAAGATACTGAAAGCGAAGATCGAGGACGAATGGCAGGATCACGAAGCAGAGGAGCAGGCTGGTTTTAGAGCTGGCAGGTCTACGATAGATCACCTCTTTGTTATTGTCCAGGTCATTGAGAAGAAAATGGCCGTAGCTCAGGAACTGCATTTAATTTTTGTGGATCTCCAGAAGGCGTATGACAGCGTGCCGTTGGTGAAACTTTGGGAGGCCTTGGAAAAATCGAATTTTAACGGGGGGTTGATTGACGCTGTTAAGCGATTTTATAAAGGGAGTTTTACCAAAGTTAAGTGCCATGGGGGGTTGTCAGCGGGATTTTATGTGACTAAGGGTTTAAAACAGGGATGTTGTTTGTCGCCAACATTATTTAAAATTTATCTCGAGTGCGTGCTAAAAGAATGGAAAAAGAAATGCTCTGGTATGGGTGTCCCCTTGGGTGATCTCGAAACTCTGTTTACTCTGTGCTTTGCTGATGACCAGGTGGTGGTTGCTCAAGATCAAGATGACGCGGAATACATGATGCGCAAGCTAGTAGAAGAGTATCGGAAGTGGGGTCTGGAAGTCAGCATATCCAAATCTGAGAAGATGACTTTTGGCGGTGATCAGCAAAGCATTGAGTTGGAGGATGGGCAGCAGATCAAAGGCTGCGAGCACTTTAAGTACTTGGGAGTGCGGTTGACCCAGGATGGAAGGACGGATCAAGCTATCAGGGAAAGGAACACCTTAGCAAGGAAGGCTATAGCGATGTTAAATGGAATCCTCTGGGATCAGCGGATTTCCAAAGATAACAAGAGGAGGATATACAACGCTGTAGTCAAAAGTATATTAACATACGGATGTGAAGTTTGGCAGCTGAAGAAACGGACACAGGATATGCTAAGAGCAACGGAGATGGATTTCTGGAGAAGGTCAGCAGGAATTTCTAGGAGAGATCGGGTCCGTAATGATAGAGTGCGTCAGATAATGGAAGTCGAAAATGACATCGTGTTCGACGTCATGACCAAACAACTTGTTTGGTATGGTCATGTCAATAGGATGACGGAAGAGAGGCTGCCAAAAAAGATGCTTGATTGGGTTCCTCCTGGGAGGAGACGTAGGGGACGCCCAGTGCGAGGTTGGCGACAGGGGGTGTTAAATGAGATAAGAGATTGTCAACTCCCTGATGACCTGTGGGAAGACCGAGCTTTGTGGCGATTAGGCGTCGCACAGCGCCAAAGAGCGCTATAAAAGCGACTCATATATATATATATTTATTTAAGCTAGATATTCGTTATTCTGAAATGTTGAAATAATTAGACGCATTTAAGTCAAAATGAACTATATCCGTCCTGACATGAGCCCTAAGGTCCATTAGACTTCATGCATGATAGAGCTCAAGTCCCGATAACGGCTGAGGAGAACGCTCATGCGGAGTTCAAGCAGTTAGAACGTCTTTTTAAAATAGATGAATATCACAGCAGACAAAATTCATAGCAAACTACACTGGAAAAAAAAAAAAAAAAAAACACATTGGATCTAGAGTGCAGACTCTTAAAAACATCGAAAAGAAAAAATACTCTAGATTCAATCAGATTTAAGCTTAAGTCAGAAACCATGCCCCTTAATTTGAGCGGATTTTCTTTGGATTTAAGCTTAAATCTGATTGAATCAAGAGTCCATTTTCTAGTCAATGTTTTCAAGAGCCTGCACTCTGGATCCAATGTGTTTTTTTTCCAGTGTATGAATATTACTGAAGACGAAGTATTTCAAGGTTAGTACCTATGGTTCCGAGAGCGGGTCCACGATGAAAACTGTTGAAAATGAAAACTGGCATTTTGGAGAGGAGAAAAAAATCACTGACTGCCAAATTGGCAACAAGAATGTTTGCTGGCGTCTGAAGGGAGCGGCATCTGAAATCATACGGAAAAACGCAAGATCAATTCAAGCTGTGCTCTCCGGCAGGGATGGATTGGCAAGATTAAAGTCGAATGAGTGCAGACGCGGTGAGAACAAAAACAAGTAATCACTGTGTTGTATCATACTGCACAATTTTTATAACACTTTATCAGCACTGTGAACACTTTTTTTTTACAATTTTTTAATTTATATAGAAAAGTCAAGTAAGCCTGAGCGCGATCTAAAATCGTGTTTTTATATCCGAGTCTTAAAGACTGACAAAATGTATTTCGACCCACACAAACCTATACTTGAATCAGTGAGTTCGAAAACACACAAACTCGGAAAAAAAATTGTTCAGGAAACACTTGAAACTGCGCAGCGGGCGAAGAAGTTAGTTTAAGAAAAACGATTTTAGTGCCAAAGGACAAGTACTTAGAGACTTTGTAAAGCACCAAGTTGAAATCGATACACCATGTTTGATGACAGAGAATTAAGCGTTTAAAAATTTCCGAGTTGGTGTGTTTTCGTTCTCACCGACTTTCATGTACTGATTTTTCATAGTCTGCCCTGAAAAATTTATGTTTTTCGACTTGAATAACGCTTGAATATTTATATAACTTGTTGGTACAAGAGATACTGGACCGGAAAAAGAAAACCGCAAGATCGGATGGTCGCCCGTTTCCCTTGAAATGGCCAAAAATTGGTATTTCCAATGAAATACTTCGGTTTTTTCCTTGTCCCGTCGCTGTTTCGAGCACTTCCGATTGCAATTTCGAAATTTCCTTTTGCAAGCAGATGCTTCTATTCATAAGTGTTACTAAACCGTAAAAAAGTGAAAATCGAAAGAAACCCGAGTTGGTGTGTTTTCGAACTCACTGATTCACTTGAGGGGCTTGGAGGACAAGGCGCATAAGTGAAGTTTTTGTAAAATTGAGATATTCATGAACTCAAAAGAACTAATTTGAAAGTATATTCTGTGGAAAATTCACAGCTAAAATCCAACTTCAAAGCATCAAAAAGTGAGTTTAAACTTCCTTTCCACCGTAAGACTCCGTGTAATTTTGAAAGTCTGAACATGTATTTCTCTAAAAAGCAAGAACTGCACTTATGCGCCTTGTCCTCCGAGCCCCTGAATTTCAATATTCGAAGTAAAGATTGCTCTCTCCCTTAATATTCTGCACTGGAAAAAAACACATTGGATCTAGAGTCCAAACTCTTAGTAACATCGACAAGAAAAAGTACTCTTGATGCAATCAGAATCTAGCTTAAATCAAGGACCAAGCCTCTTAATTTAAGCGGATGTCGTTTTGATTCAAGCAAAAATCCGATTGAATCAAGAGTACTTTTTCTTGTCAATGTTTTCAAGAGTCTGGACTCTAATCTAATGTGTTTTTTTTTCCAGTGTGACTTTTTTATTTGTATGGATGTAGCTTGGAGAACTTGAGCCCTTTTCTGACCTACGCACTTAATTTAAAGGACGAGCTAACTCGTTTTAATCGATGCTTTTTTTCCCAACATTGATGCTGTCAGCGACGTTGCAGACTTCCTGTCATACTTAATTATTTTTAAATGGAGCTACAAAACGCCAAGTTTTTAGAGTTTCCGTGATTTTCCCTCTCTTCGTGGAGCAAATTATAGAAAAATTTCAAGGAATGGTGTTGATTTGTTCACCTTTAAAAAAATAAAACACGAGTACCATGTAAATTTTTAAATACCGCAACAGAGTTACGAGGGTTGGTAGTTCCACCATAGACGTTGTACTTTAATTCTCCTCGATAGCATCCTGGATTAAGTCAAACATAAAATGCCTGAATAGAGGAGAGTGTAAAGTACGAAGAGGTTTCAAGAAAACTTGGAGCCAAAGAAGTTTTTTCGATCCTAAAGTACATGGTGAAAAGGAGGAGACTGTGGAGCACAAAGGGTGTAAAAATGTCGTGGTACCGCAATGAAAAACTTCGGGGTAATATGTCAGATGTAACGTACAAACTTGAGTCGAGCTCTCGGGAGGAGAGCTCTCTTAAAGGTAGATAAGATGATAAATTGAATAAACAGCGCTCAGCTTCCTTAATGAATTTATACAAGAGCGATGGAGATAGTTGCAAAATGGTGCGATATTGCATTGTTGCATAATAGTCTTGATTGTAGGTCAGTTGCGTTTTTCACTAAACCGGGTTTTGACTACTAGTTTGGCAAGAAACTTCCTGATATTGTTGGTCAAGCGCCAAGAAATCGGCATTCAAAAACACGCTGATTGATGTCATTCTCCGTGGAAGTTTATTCCAGAATTTATTGGTACTTGGGGCCCTTTTTCAAGACGATTACTTCAGCTTTATTGAGGTAAGTGATAGAAATGAAGTCGCTAAAGAATGTGTAAAGGTAAACGATGGTTTTCGCTGGAACTTCCATGACCGGATACAATACATATCAAATTTCAAATTTTTCGAGGTGTTTTTTATTGTGTAGCCTCTGACTACAATCTTTGCAGCGAAAACCGAAGGTTTTTTCTAATTAAAACGAGTGCCCAAATGAGGTTTAAAGTAGTAAGTAAAACTACGACCTGCCAGGGCCGGATTTAGGGGGTGGCCGCACGGGCCGCGGCATGGCGGCAAATTTTGCAATTTTTCTAAAAGTAGGTATGAAAAAATCGGATTCAGAAAAAAATTATAGACGAAAAAAGGCGACAAAATCTCTCATTTCCTGAGAGTAAAGGAATTGATCATTTTGTCGTTTTTCGGCGAAACAAGAGACAGCACCTTTAATTAGTCGAGTTAAGAGAGAAACTAAACACGCAATGTGGCCTGGAGCGGGGCGGCGCAGAGAGCAATGATGACGAGGACTTGAGATGAAAAGAAGAGGTCCTCGGCGCGGCGGTCGGCATGTAACACACATTAGCGCCTACAAGACTGCATGAATACTTCACGCATTGCGTCAAACAAAGTGCGGTCAGTAGCCGTCATCAGCGTGAAACGCATAGCGCCTACAAGACTGCTTGAATACTTCACGCGTTGCGTCAAAGACAGCGGTCAACGTGAAACGCATAGCGCATAAAAGACGGTAGGAATACTTCACGCGGCGCGTCGGCGGAAGTTAACCATCTATGGCATAGCGTTACGAATTCGTAACAACGTATTTTGGGGGTTTTTACAAACTAAATATTTTCCCTGCACCATGGTTTTGTAAAATTTCTTTAGTTTTTTCTCTTTTTTTTGGAAAATTGATTCCCTTAACTTTAACATTTTGAAAAAAAAAAATGTAGTACTCTATTTTTTTTATGCAAGCTACAAAATAGATTAGTGTCCCTCGGAATCGGAGATCCAAAATTAATTCATGTCATAGAGGGTTAAAATTATTAAACCGAATTTATGCCAAGAATAGTGCTAATGAACACTAAGCTGCCACTATGATAAAGACTAACGTCAATATCACTTGGATTATAACTTATTTTTCGCACTGACGTGAGTGTTATTCGGCGCTGAGGTCAGTGATAGATCTGCATCAATGGCAGGTGCCACTCGTCATTTTTATCACGAACGAGAGGGACTTTTGGTACAACCTGTATCAAAGCCATATCAAACAAGCAGTTCCAAAGAGATCGATAACCTGTCTCTAAATACAGTCTAACTGAATTAATTTACGATAAAAAAAGTTCTCAGCGCGTTCTCAGACGCGTAATCACAGGCTGTATAGACAAACCAACCCCTTCTACTCCGGATTCAGCGGTCGTTAGTCCCGGATCCAAGCTGAAGCGTCTAAGAGCTTAAGGCTTCTTAAGAGCCGTTTAGAAGAAGGAATATGATTCGGAACTTTAAGTTTCTGCATCCGGAACTGATACATCCTTGCCTTTAGCCAGTGATATGTCTTCAGCCAGAGGAAGTTTCGTATGTGAATAAACTTTGAGTTTGAAAATTTCGCAACGTTGAAATTGAGATTGAAATTTATACCACTACAAGACGTAACATTTATTGAACAACACTGATTCACCCAACAAATTGAGGTATTCAATTAAACTGCCGGATCAGGCTTAAAATTCATACAAAATTAAGGACAATTGAAAACTAGAGTAAGATACAGAAACTTAACGTATATGAAAACTCAAAATTAAACCATACTCAAATACTTAAGGTAGAACATTCCCAAGAGGAACCACATATTTTAATAAATAAACAAATAAATAGATAAATTTAATAGGAAAATAAATAATAACTTGTAATAAAATGACAAATAAGATAGTAATAACATAAGGTAGACAGTAAATAATGCAGAGAGAAAACAAGAAGAAATAAAAAATTGAAGAATGGAATATTATGAAAAGTCCTTTTCATATTAAAACATAACATGAGTTAGTAAAAAACTCAGTATGGGGGATAAATTAATTATGAAAATTCCAAGATTGCCATAACTTCTTCATCTTCAAATTCTCTAACGATTCTCGTGATTCCAAAATTTTCGGATCCTCTGACTTTCCCTGACAATTGAAGGAGACTTCCATTTTGATATTTCCTCTTTTCATACACTCACTTCTGCTACTTCTGCAACACGCCAACACATTAAATTCCCAGACTCTGTTTGTAAATTCCCTGAATTTTCCCGGTCGCCACAAATTCCCCGAATTTTCTAGTTTTCCAGACCTTCACGCACGGCATCGAGTCAAATAGAGAGGTCGAACATGAAATTTTTGATTAAAACTGCAAATTTTGATGTTTATTTCGTCACATTTCAAGGACCAAAGGGTGCTTCTAGGGACAAATTTTACGAGGAAACCAATGGAACCACTTTTAGAACCTTACAATTCTGTATAAACGGAGTTATAATCTCCTAAAGTTTCCAAATTTTGTCAGACATCTCCTATTGACTCGATCCTCTGAGCGTCGGCAATACTGAAATTCATGACTTTGAAACGTAGATTCATTTTTTCATCTGGAAAAAAAAAAAAAAAACCGGACTGCACGACAAGAACAAAACTTGCGAGAAAAAAGGATCAAACATAACCGCAAAAGTGGCAGAGAGGCTC